ATTTGTGTCCTCCAACTCCATCTTCTGAGTCCTCGTCTGAGCCATGGTCACCATGTCTAATGTGGCAAGGTTCTTGCTTCTTTGTAGACTTAGAGAAAATCGGGATTATCAGTGGCTTTTCTAGTCGGTACTCCGCTCGAAGCCATGCACCTGGATTATCAATAGATCTATCTTCCAGAAAGCTTTTGTAGTCTGTGATCTATTGGTCCAGCCTCTTGTTGGTGGTCCAAGCATGACCTATTAATCCGCAATTTGCACAAGTTCTAGACAATTGTTCGTAGCAATAGGGAATCCATATTGGCTTACCTTGGTAGAAGATGAAATGACCCAGGTACAATGTCTTACGAAGGTCTATTTATATTTTTTTCCAAACCTAAAGACCTTGGATGAGCTGGCATGTGCGTGTTTTCTCTTGATTTGTTGAGTCCATATCTATTCAACCACACTTGTAACAGAGTCTTTCTAGTCTTCGAGTAGAATCCAACTTTGTCTATAAAACCATAAACCTCCATTTAAAACAGTGTTCTTGTCATTTTCCTATTCAAAAATAAATTCAATGTTGCCTCCCTCAATAAAGTTTGTTGTTAATGAATGGGTAATTCCCCATAGGTTTTTCACATGGGTGACTAGGTTCTCTGCACTTACCTTTTGTCTGGGGAAGATGCATTCCTTTAGTGTAATATTCGTGATATTTACTACATCTTCTACTGGGTCAAAGGAGGGATATTCTTGGTTTGCTATTACAATGACTGCATGTGCAAAAAGTTGTGCGATGTCACTGTTATCTGCTACGATGATCTCTTTACCCTTGTTTTCCTTCAGTGCCATCTGGTGAGCTCGTACGCAATAGAAAAAAAACAGATATTTTTTGCAGGGGCCTAGGTGAAGGAATAAGTGGTTAGAAGAGAAAAAGAGTGGAGGTACAAACTTGTCGCAGTGTCACAAGTGTTCTCTTCGCTGCACCATCCATTGTGCCTACAACCACCACTTTAGTGTCCAAGTGTGTTTCATGGGTGGGCTATGCATGTATTTTTCTATGGGGGATTGTCAATGGCATTCTTGTAATTACCTAGTATATTTTTTCATCATTTTGATGTATCTTTATGTCACTCCCCCAAAAGCTTAACGTACTCTTTTAGGGGAGGTAAGTAGTCGAGTGAATCAAGAGCATGTAAAGGTTAAGCATGAGATCCCCTCGACACTGAACTATGTGCTTATGCTTGCCATCTATTAATGCAATACAATTTGTCTTTTGTCTAATTCGTGTGCCATCTCTATTGCATTTTCTTGTGTTATTGCTTAGACTTACTCGTTGCATTCGAATGCCGCACAGGGCCCCAATGACTAGCCCCATGACAACAAGGAATCTTCGAGGTAGAGAGTGATTTAGGAACTGTGTGAAGTGTAAAGGCTTAAGTTAACAAGAGGGTGATAACAGGATGGGATGGTACGGGGCTGAAAATTGGGTGAGGAGAAAACATTCCTAGTTTGTTATTGCTTGTTGCTGATTTAATTATTTTCTTTTTTATGTTAATAATAATTTTCAAAGCATATTGAAAAGATGGGGTTTTTATTATTCAGTCCACCTTAATAATAAGTGGGGTATTTAAAATTTTGAATGGTTGTAGGTCTTCAGTTGCATTTAGAATTCTGAGGTGGAGTGCAGTATAATTTTTATTAAAAAGATTTGATTAATTGTTGTGTTTCTGGAATGAGAATTAATGATGGTTGGATGGATTGGCATTTGGGACAGCACAAATTAGGCGGGAGAAGGTGATTGACGGTTGACACATACGATGATAATAATGGATATGTGGAGTCTTGTGTGCCACGTCATGATACATGTGTTGAGTCTACTTATAGACCCTTGACAACATGGTAGCCTAGCTAGCCCCCTATCAAATACACCAATGCATGGGCCTGGCGTGTTAATTTAATTGATTTTTAGTGGATACCACGAGAGTTGATACACCTATGTATGTGTCCATTTTTTAATTTCTTTTCCCATCTGTTGACGAAGGCTTCATTTCAGTAATTAATTAACGCTTCTTTTCGCAATCCATTTGCAAATCCTCCCATGATATTGAGAAGACTACACTAGTGTAAAGTGTTTTGAAAAATATGGGGTCATAGAAATTTGGACGAGAAACTTTAAGGTGTACTTACAGATATTGGGGCATGTATAAAGATGTTGACTTTGGTACATTATTTGTTCCTATTTAGTTTTACTGAATTTGGTGTTGGATTACAGTTTTACAGGCAAATTTATTCTTAAGATATAATAGAGTCATGGGCAAGAATATGCAACTAGTAAAGTTGAAGAGTCTACGAAGAAACTTTCTATGAGACAGTAGTAAATCAAACTGAGAGAGACATAAGTGATTTCCAAAAAGTTTGTGTTTGCATTTGCTTGATTTACACTCCTCAAATAATTTCTGAAGAGTCATGGAACAAAGGAATGTGTTGATTTAGAAAAGACTCATTGAACAGTCACAATTTCAGACATTCTGATTGTTAAAAAGGTAGTTAATAGTTGATGACTGTTAATTTTGAATAGTTTCTCTTGATCACACCTGATCAAATCGTAACCGTTGAAACATCAATGGTCAGTCTCGCACCAAAAGTCAAAACCGGCCTTCATGAGCCATGCAGGTGTGAACAAAATGCACCCCATTGCACTTCATACACGCGCGCACGTGTTGCACAATAGCAAGCTTTCATTCTCTCCTCTTTATTTCTAAGAAATGTAAATAAGCTCCTATTTAAAAACTCAAAACAAGTTTTAAAATTTTCCAATGTGGGATAAGTTGAAAACTGGTTTTAGTAAGAGAAAAAACTATTTTCCAATACATGTGTGCAAGTGTATTTTTTATGTAATTGATCAATCAAACCCCATTGGATTTAATCTCTAATGAGATTAAAATCCAACAAAATGCATTTTAGGTATTTACACGCTGATTGACGATGAATTAAAGTCAAGTATTGAATTATCACAAATTGAAAGTTTCGATGCATGATTTTTGCACTTTAAAGTTTGAGGACCAAATTATCAGTCGAGTCAAATGGGAAATTTTCCTTTTAAAGAATTATGAGTGTTGCCTTGCGACCCAACAAGATAGCTTGGGGTTGGAGGGTACGAAAGATGTGGTTGTACTAGTTAGTAATAGTAATGACTAAGGAATGAGCTTTTGTGTGATTCTTTCTGACTTAATACACGGAGTAGAATAATTTTAGTTCATCAGATCAGATGAAGTAAATTATATATATTGAATTGTTATTATTAGGGGAAAAAGTTTGGCTAGCTGTTTTGTTGAGAGGCTTATTTGCATGACACTAAACTATCATGGGTGTTGAGTAAAAGAGCATTTATAACTAATATTAAAGAGATGGATTGAACAAGCAACTAAGGTGGAGTATGGTGTTATCTCCCAGCAAACAGTCCTAATTATTTTAAATGTCAAAAGGCCTATCACCTATGCCTTATATACGGTACGAGAGAATTGAAAATGGGTATAGTTGTATGAGAAATGCCACAACAATAGAGAAAGTTAGAAATATGCATGGTTGAGTATGTATGAGTTGGATGATGTTAGGTAGATTCCTTATTCAATAAAGCCCCCACCTCTAAATTCCAAAGTCCAATATACAACCACCATCATCATCACCATGACCATTAAGAATTCAGATTTTATCTTCACAAAACCCATTTTCATATATAGCAGCCCTAACAACTGTTTATTAGAAATATCTCTCATGAATAGAAACATACAGATAAAGAGTTGTTACTTAATACATTGTTGCAAGGGGTATGAGGATGATGTGAGAAAAAAGAAAAAAAAAAATCCAATTGGACCATTAGAAATGAGACTCTCCTTCACTTTTTCTTTTCTTTTCTTTTTCTGCATATTGCAAAATGCCTGGGGGCCTGGGAAATCTCCTTCGACCTTCATGCGCCCTTAAAATAACAAGTGAGGATCCATCAAACAGAAAAAGAGGTAAGAATGAAGAGTTTCTGTTGTTGCCACCTACTGCTGTCCTCTATGCCCTCCTCCAATCAAATATTAAATAATGGGATTCCTCTCCCACTAATATAATTGCCTTATCCTAAATTTATTTTTAATGGTATTTCTTAATTACTTCTTTTTCATTATTCTTTATTATTATTATTATTATTATTAAAAGAAGATATAATAATTATATAAGAAGAAGAAACATGGTAGAGAGAGAAAAACAGAAAAATGAAAACCTACAGCAAGCTTGCGCAAATGGGTTTGCACGCAAACTATTTTGTTGAAGAAAAATTTAATATTGTTAACCCTGAAAAGAAACAAAACATGTATACTTGACGCTTCATCATCAATCATCATCATCATCATATTATCACATTACTCATTTATTAATTAATTTATTTAAACTAGAAAAAAGGTGTGTGGACGAGCAGCAACAAAATACGCTTTTTCAATACATTCCAACACCATCTAAATCTTCTCATGCAATTGAGACCCACCTTGTCCCAACCAGCCACTATATTATCTGTACGTTGAAAACATCTCTCATAAATGACAAGGGATACGGCTGCAAATAGCTTGTTGCGCGACAGTGTTGGGAGAGTCTTGGTGTAATAGATCCCTACCCCTAGAATGTACATTTCGGACACATCATTCAATTAACTTAATTTTTTGTCCACGTGGAGGATGACGTGGTCAATCATTCCATCCATACCCGTAACTATTCCCTTTTGATTTTGATTGGCGACAATTAGTGATTGACCAATCCCACACGTGGAGGATGATGTTATCTGGTTGACAAACACGTGGCAAAGCAGTCTCAACTGGCGAACTTTATGCTTTTTTTTTGTTTGATACAAAAAAAAAAATAGCTATTTTTTGGCTGTTTATTCATATATATGCTTTATTTTTGTTTATTTATTTATTTATTTTCCTTGAATGTGAGGGACACGTCGTTGTGAATAAAAGGAAGAACTAAGAAACTCTGAGAAACAACAAGAAGAAGAGGAAGAAAGCAGAGCAATAACATCTGCGGATAGAGAGCAGAAATTCAATTTCAAGACGACTAAAAGCCCGGACAAATCAATAGATTTTCGGTTTTTCTCTTATTATATTATTATATACATGAAAACTAAATTACTGAGACATAGACAGACTAAAGAGAGATAACCAAGGGTTGGTTATTTCTTATTTGTTGGTTGGTTTCATTTCATCCTTCAATTTTGTCTCCGCTACTAAATTCTCTTTTCCGGTTCAGAAAACCAAAAGTGACACATAGAAAGTTATATATCGAAAGAAAAAGATAAATAGGCCAACTGATTTGATCGCTCTATCGGATTGATTCCATTGTGAAAGAGAGAGAGATAGAGAGAGATGGAGGTCAGAAACAGCGTTGCGATGGACAACTCGTCAATGGCAGCACCTCAACAGCCCTCACCGCCCTCGAAGCAGAACAAGCCATCCCCAAATTCAGTTGACACTAGTTCCGTCTCCCAGAGGTCGGTTCCTCTTTCAAGATTTCTTCTTTCTGTTTCCTTGTTCAACTGTTATTCTTATTCCTAGATTATGTGCTTTTTGTCGTTTTGGCACCACCATGGACGCCATCTAATCCCCATCTTATTCCCCCTTTCCCGCTTCTCTTTTCAGGCTTCAGAAGGAGCTGATGTCTCTCATGGTATGTGATTTCTCTTATTAGTTATTCCCTTCTTCTTGGTAAAGTTCAGTTACTGCTACTTCAATAATCGTTTTACTTGATATTCAGTAGTTTTGGCTTTTGCCGAATCTGAGTTTTCTATCTTTAAATTCTTTGTTTTGGGTAAGTAATCGAAAGTCCTAGTTCGACTCTCTCTACATCAATTTGGGTTTTCATTATCTTGAACTTCTTATTGGTTAATGATATCTGGAAACTACTGTTGAATAATCTGCTTAGATGGTTAAAAGATATTGTTTTTTTTCTTTTTTCTTCTTTAATTTTTTTTCTTGCAATCTGGAAATTATCTTCAAACCTTCTATCGTTCTTTTTTACCTTTTTTTTTTATATTTTTAATCTTAACTCTCAAACTATTAGTGTATCGGTGTATCCAACTTCCCCATGTCACAATTCCAAGTCATCATGGTGATGAGCTACCTTTATCTCTTGTTATGATCATCTTGTTGGTGATATGTTAAAAGCGAAAAAAACTATAGTCTTTTTTGCGTCCCATTTTAGGCAAAATTTTTGCTTTCTTCTCTGGATGCAAGATTCTAAATTATTGGTCCACAATGAATTCGAATTTCATTCTTAAAATGAGTTAGCATGTTCAGGAAATCATTCCCTGAATAACTGAATTTTCCCTCTCTGCAAAACTTATCTCGGCAGTACAGGAGGGCCATGACCTAATCTTGTTCTTTTCTCTGCCAGATCATAATTTGAAGTTATTCCGGTCAGTGCTACTGGGGTAGCAAATAAAAAAAAGAAAAAAAAAAAAAGGGAAGAGAAAGTTCTTTTTTTCTATCCTCAGTCTGAAGTCTTGTAGTGGAATCACTAGGGGTTATTTTCTTTGTCGGAAAACTAATAGTGCTAAAAAAGATTATAGTTCAGAAAACTACCTTGGTTTTGAGGCTGTGAAGATAAAACAAAAAAAAAAGGATATAAAGAATTCGTGTTGTATGATCTATGTAATTAATCAATTTCAGTGAAACCAGGGTTCAGGTTATCAAATTTATATAGTGAAAGTTAGGTTTAATAGACTGGAAGAGGGAATAGAATGTATCCCAAGATAGCAAAGTGGAGCAGTCAAGACATTTACTAGTAAATTAATTAAGAAGAAGCCTCTCACAACATCAATGATGTATGCTTGAAACAAGGAGATGAGGTAGTACATATGGAAATAGGGGTTTGGTTTTCTTTTATATCTCTTACGGATCAAACTGGCTAAGATGGCTACTCTCCTAATTGTGTGAAACGACATTGAATTCTATTAATGCTTTTCATATCAAAATAACTTCTTTCCCCTTACTGAAGTAAAACTTTTCTCAAACTACATAACTAAATCTCTTACTAGAAGGTAAGAAGTCCTCTAAATGGAATAAAAAAGGAACATAGTTCCCAAATCTCTGTAAAAAGCATATGTTTAGATTAGACAACTGATTATTATTTCTATTTGTACCAAAACTGAGCAGATAGGGCATTATTTTAACAATGTTCTAAAAGTAGTAAATAAGCTTTTTTTTCTGCATGCCTGCATCAGAATTTCTTTTTCCTTTCCCTGATTTTATTGTAAAAAAAAAATCTTTTTCTCTATGTATGTCTCATGATTTATTTGGGAAAAATATACTTTGTTTAACATGTATGCATTATTTGAATATATGTCTACAGCTGCTTATCGGGCATATGGTACACGTTCTTAATTTGTATAATTGTTATATGCTCCAGCTCACTGCATTTAGAAAGATTGGAATTGCACTATTGCCCTGAAAATACAAAATGTAGATAATGATTCTGTGAAGGACTTACTTCCATCAGAAGTCCTTAAAAGAGTATAAGACTTTTGTTTCTGATTATTATACCAGCCCAAACTCTTGCTTGGTTTATTAGTTATCACTATTCACAGTGTTTTTATAATGTTATAACTTTTCTTTTATAGATGAGCGGAGATATCGGGGTATCAGCCTTTCCTGAGGGTGAGAACATCTTCTCCTGGATTGGCACTATTGAGGGTGCAAAGGACACTATATACGAAGGTTTATCTTACAAACTGTCTCTGCGCTTTCCCCTGGATTACCCATTTAAGCCTCCCCAGGTTAAGTTTGAGACACCGTGCTTCCATCCAAATGTTGACCAGTATGGTAACATTTGTCTAGATATCCTTCAGGTAATGATCATTCTAATCAAAACGTGTCAAGGAAACACTAAGAAGAATGCCCTATGTGGATGGGGAAATTTGGAAAAAGACTTGCTATTATGTATATACCCTCCACTCAGTGCTTGTAGAAGGGTTAGGGAGAATTGCTTCATTCCACTTACCACTAACACTGGTGTAGTAATGGCAAGGAGAAGGCATTCACCTCATCCAGATTAATATTGCTTGTGTCTATTGTTTTTCTCCTACAGCTGATGCAATCTCTCTTTTGTTTCTCCATAGGACAAATGGTCATCAGCTTATGACTGCAGAACCATTCTATTGTCCATCCAGAGCCTGTTGGGAGGTTTGTGTTTCTTCTGTTTTTGGGCTTTCCCCTCTTGTATGCATGCCTTCATCTTACTTGTTTGTTCTCATGTACAGAACCCAACATTGATAGTCCTCTTAATAACTATGCTGCAGCACTCTGGAATAACCAGGAAGGTGGGAATCATCTTACATATTCAGCCATGCTATATTTCTGTTCTCATTTCTCTTCTCCTATTTGGATGGTAGAACTAAAGGTGAATTGGGAACATTGAAAACATGATATCTGGGAGAATTATTGAACTGTGAACAATTTATGGCTTACTTATTACCTAAGTTGTTGGCCTGATCTAGCCATCCCGTATGTGGTATGCACATGGACAACGTGCACAGAAGCAACAATAGTCCTATTGGTGGAAGCAAAGAGCTTTTCTAGGTCAAAGCATGAGCTGATTGGGTTATTGAATCCGTCCAAGATTGTCCCAACTAATCGTGGATTGCAGTCTCCCCGGTTTTTTTTCCAGGATAGCAAGGCAAAAAGGATTCTTGCCTCACCTTTTTATCATGTTGCAAGTATATCTTGCTTCTTTTCAAGGGAAACACCTAGCAGCTCACAGGCTACTTTATTGAATGTTCTAGGGTCTTTCGACGCTATGCATCTCTCAGTTAATGGTGTTTGATTCCTTAGCCATAAGTCACACGGTTAAATTTTCATTAATAGCCAAGACTTGTGATGTTAGAAACCCAGATGAATATTCAAATGGCTTTTTTCTAGGCCTCTGGATCCGGACCTATAAGTGCAGGATAGTATATCTACAAATTTATTATATGAAATCATGATTATGCAATGGGCGAGTATACAAAAACTACAACCTTTTTCCCATGTCATCTAAAAATATTATACAGCGTTGCACTTGTTGATATATCTGATCATTCAACATTTGTTCCTTTATCTTTGCAGCTTACAAGAAAATGATCCACAAACTGTATACAGATGGGGAGGCATTTGAAAGCTAATTAGCAAGGTTTTCATCGCTTGCTGGTGGTGATTATCTTTATTTTAACTCCCTCGGAGACTGCATCTTCTCTACAACATTCTTGAGAAAGAGTATTTTGAAGATGTCAAGATATATGTATTTTTCTTTTCTTTTCTGCAAGTTGAAATTTTTATCTTTGGATCATTTGATGTCTAGTAATTTGGGTGACCCAGTAAAAGGGTTTTTTTTTTTTTTTTTCTTTTGAACATGGCAATATTCAACCTGTATATATAATTAAAGAAAGCCTACACAATCAACTTTTTTTTTTTCATTTTTGCATGATTTGAATTCTAAAGATGATGGGTCATGATTGGGGTTGTTGCCTTCAATGACAATACTCAACCTCCTGATGGAGGCTTAAAAGTAAAAATATAAAATGTTAGTATATATGGATTAATATGGTCGTTATCGTTAAATGGCTCCCATCTGACAATGGAATTCAGAATGGGGAGATATTAGGTTGTGCTTGTGAGGACGGTGTGAGGATGAATTCTGCTGACCTAACTCTTCGTTTGGCTATGCATCAAATTTGTTCATGTTGGCGACCAAAACCCTATCGCAGCTGAATTAACATTTCCCGATGATGAAATTCGTGGGGGGCAATCACGTAGGGGGCTGATTTGAACTCAATTTGAGATCTTAAATGTGCCCCAAAAACACCTCACATATATCTCAAGTGCATTGAGAACGAAACATCTTTCCAAAACCAAGTCGGGATAATCTTGCAAGTTGCAACACTTAAAAGCTGTGCATTGGGAAGTGGGAGCAGACTGGTTACGGCTAAGGGTATCAATGGGCCACCAAACCAACTGACCGGAAGATCTATGCGCAGAACCTGAACCTGAAAAGTAGGGTCTAGACTAGATCAAAACATAGAGAAGAAACATTAAAATCCATGTCCAGTCCAGTAGATGTATAACAACATAGTCATATGAGAGCAAAAGAATCTTGAATTTTGGAAGGTAAAGTTGATACAATCACTTGCTACACTGTGTTGTGTGTTTTGAGCTATATAATATATAACTAAAACTAGATCACGCGCCAAAGAATTGTACATTCGTTGGATATGAAAACGGGCCTGTTCTTACGCGCCAGGCGGTGATATTATAAAGACAATATCTAAGATTTAGCTCCTAACCTGAGATAACACGACACAACGACTATTTAAATGGCTAGCGTGATTTAGCACTAAATAATTGAGATTGAGACTTTTAACATCTCGTCTCCCTATACAAATTTTGCCCAAAAGAAAGAGAGAATAAAAATCGTTTTGCCTTGAGAACTGTTTCCTGCCTAAAAGATATTTACAAATGAACAAAAAAAAAAAAAAACATATGCATGTAGATGAGTTATTTCTCCCTCAAGTTATCTGGTAGGGCAGCTGCCTTGCAGATGGGGCAGACATTCTTCATCGACAACCATTTCTTGATGCACTCCACATGGTAATCATGGTTGCAGTTCTTCAGTGTCCCAATCTCATCCTCGTTCTTATACTCTTCCTGCCAAATGCGGGATCCGCAAATAATAACACAGTTTAAAATCTCATCAACAACTCAAATTGATTTCTGCTTGGAATTGGATGAAAGATTCTGATTGGAATGTAAATCTTGCTTACCAGGCATATTACACAAGTTCCTTCATCCTGCATCTCATCTGCTGCAGAACAATAAATCATCTCTGTCAAACACTTTGAAATCATGTCTTCAGATAAACCTGTGCTCACCATCCCAATCCTTTCCCCTAAAGCAAGTAGTTCCTGTTCCATGCCAAAATTTTAGAACTGACTAAAAAAATAGCAATTATGAATATAAAAAGGAACATGAAATGGAGAAAAAAAATTTGATAATTGAGATGGAGAAAAATATTATCACCTCATAACTCATATTGTCTATATCTAGCCTCATCTCCCTATGCTGATCAAACAAATTTCTGGAACCATATAAGGCTGACCGATCCACCATCATAAGACCCTACCATGAAATAACAAATACTTGCGATCAATTGGTTAATTGAAAGGAATAAAAATTCATAATTTCCTGATTGGCACCAAAGACTACAATTTGCTGCCTCAGCCATGGTGGATAGAAATCATGCAACAAGTTGAAGCAGCAGAGCTTTGGTCATTAGCCATATTCATCTAACAACTAAGTTCTGGACTAATGAGATAGATGGGTATTTTGGCACATACAAGTCACATTTTGTCATGGAGAAAATACAAGGAAAAAGGAATTCAATAGGTGTTTGTAACAGTGGAAGCATCAAGATAATTAGTTGATAGCTCTTCCTACCAAAATCCACCTTAGGGCTCAGAATTCTTCAGTGGGACTATACTAGAGAGTACAACGTCTATGCTAGGTTTCAAAAAGAAATTTCTCACACCTCAGACACCACTCTATCATGGGCATCACCATCATTGGAAAGCAGCCGTAACCTCTCAGAAGATATCCTTGACCGTCCATTCCTATCACCATTACGGCGACCTATATTAGACAGTGGCCTTGAATGTCTAGCACTGTATGTTTCTGAAGACAGCAGTGGACTATCATCTGAAGTAGTGGTGCCATATCCCATGCGTGGGTAGCTTGACGCAGCCCTGTAAGCAGGCATGGTCCCTTGAGATAAGCCACTGCGACCTCCTCTCACAGCTTGAGTTGGGAAACCATGAAGACCTTGAGGAACAACAGGAGTTCGGATGGAAAACAAATCTTGGCTATACCTGCCAGCCTCTACAGAACCATTAGTAGTACGACCACCAAGAAATTGGTTTACATCATACCCCAAACCAGTCGTATCTGCAAATTTTCATTAGGAAAATCTCAGAAAAAAAAATCCAAAACGGATACAACAAGGAAATATATCTCTAACTAACCTGAAGGCACTATCCTTCCACGAGAAGCAGGAGAGACAGGAATGTGGTTCCATTCTCGACTGGTTGAACCAGCACTAGCACTCAAACCAGTGAGGTCCACTGTCCCAGAATGATCTAGTAGATGAGCTGTGGAATGAGGATAGTGAGAAGGGTTACTTGATAAATGAGTCCTGGCTAGGTTGGCTTCCAAGTCAAGTGTAGATCGACTTCTCACATTCCTTTGAGAACCTTCACTTGCAATCGAAAGACTGCTGCTTCTATAGGTAGGGGTTATGCCAATAGAATCCCAAGGTAAATGTTCTGAAAGTAAATGTGGTTTCTCCTGCTGTTGGCCAGACGAAGTAGAGTGATCAGATGAATTTACAGAACTACACTGTCTGCTGCTACTACCCCTCTCACAGGTGACAGAAATTGCTGGACTTTTTCTTTTGCATGGCCCCCTTCCATTGCCCATATTAGGACCAAGAATATTGGCCTCAATTCCAAGAGTTGCATTTCTGTAATAGCTAGAAGAAGACGCATGGTTAACATAACCCTGCGGGATTGGGCAGATGCTTCCAGAAGCTGATGGATTCATGAAGGGATCATAAGAGGAGCCTGAAGCAGCTTGCCGGTGAAGTGGCTCCATGCTCAGACTCAAGGGAGAATACTCATTTGACCTCAGTGCTGAATTCCAATGAGATGCAACATTTACTCCACCCATTGACATGTTCCCCACGGGAAAAGCGTAAGAACTGTTTTCTGAAGCACTGACCCTGCCTGCAATACAGACTTGAAAATAAGTTATTATAATTATGACAGTGCTCACCCACAGGCCTATTTTAATAGATGGCAACCAGATCCAATGCATATGTAGGTTTAAACCTCCTAGGTGAACCCATCAAAGGTAGGTTCTAAGCATTAGACATGGTTACCATATAATCCTGAAAATTCCTATCACAAATGTAATTACTATCTTAATATGGTTTCCATGGATCTAACCTTCCTAGATCAGCATTAGATAATTGAAGGAATGCACATAAAAAAGGGATCTAAGGCTGTGATACCAAGGTGGATATAAGGCTGCTCAACGTGTATGTGACTCTGATTATCATGGTTCATCTCAAAAGTTTGTGATGTGCCAAAGATGTGTCTATGCCCCATAGCAACGTCACCTCAAAGTTCAAGATGGCTAGGTCCTGAAGTGAAAGAAGCTAAAGAAAACACAACCTGCACAGAAGAGAAAATAATTCAAAGAAATTTAAAGTGAAATCATACAGAACATGCTAGATTGCATATACAAGAAGCATTCACCAATGATACCAAACATCTCATTGCATTAACGACATAAATATTATTAGCTCTGTTGAAAGTTATATGGCACAATGAGAAAAGCAAGGAGTAATTATTCATTCATTAATTGGACAACTAATCTTAGCCATCAAAAGAATTATTGCTTGATCCCAACAAGAAGGTTCATAATGCTGACTGATAAAAATAAGATCCTTTCTCCCCCACAAGAGAGATCTATATCTATCAAGGAATAAAAGTATCAATTGGTATGAACTGATAGGCATTGATTTTTGCTCCAGAAAGTAGAAAGTAACAGGTAATATTAGGGATGACCTTTAAAGGTAGCCTTTTTTTGTTTGGACTACCTACATGAACAGAATTTTAAGTAGGGGCAATTCATCTGGAGTCCACCGTGTTTTATGTAAGGAGCAGATCAAAACAGTTAACCATCTGATGTTACATTGTAGATTCTCCTATTAAATATGGCCAAAGATATTGAAGTTGTTTGAGGTGAAAACCTGCAATTCAGAATTAATTTATATAAAGTTGGAGAGTGGAAGGCCTAACCAAGAGGGAGAAGTTGGCATGGAATACTGCTCCTGCAACAGTTATCTGGTGTGTATGGAAGGAGAGAAATGCAAGGATATTCAAAAACAAAAGCAGCCCAGTAGATACAGTGTTTCAGAAAATCTTGACAAAATATTGATTTGCTATGAACAAGTTATTTAAGGATTATAGTTCCTCTTTTGCATATGAAAATCTTTTTGTAAAGCAGGGTGTGGGGGTATAGGATTGTATGGGCAATTATTGTAAAATCCCTGTGTACTGCAGCTTGTTGTCCATGCTTATTGTTTATTTAAATGAAATTATACTTTTACCTTCTCTCAAAATATTTGGGATTCAGAGGGATTATGAAAGCCCTATTAAACACTTCAAGACAGCTCAATACTCTGGATCCACAAGGAATAGAACTTACTGACTAATAAAAATTATAATCATGGTCCACATTGTAGACCCATGATGATACTTACAAAAAAAAGAATATTTTCTAAAATTATCATATAATTCTTAAGAATTATAAATACATAAGGCAATATTAAGATAGGTATACAATGGATTTATAATTGACAATTGAACTCCTTTTAAAAACATATGCAATGCTATCTAAATTTCCAAAAAAAAAGCTTTAGTTAGAGGTAGATAAAGTAGACCAAGGTTGAGAGTCAATCTGTCTTGAAGAAGGTATAATTGGCTAAGGAGATGAGCGTTGACAGATTACTCATGGAGGGGGATTCCAAGTTGGTTATTAGTTGGCTAAAGTCTCCAGAATTTGTTGTTTAGACTTACAGGGAAGAGGTGAAGTGATTTAAATGGCTGACTTCTAACAGGACAGTGAGGATTCAATGGGAAAGGAGATCTGCAAATGGGCTAGCTGACTGTCTAGATAAGCAAGGGCCAAGGGATGCATAGGGATAACCTTTCGTGGGCTAAACTTTAATTTGAGATTTTGAGGCTTCACTTCACGCCTCTATGTGGGAAGTTTATTGTATCACTTGTTTTTGATATACTTCAATAAAATTTCTTCTTTACTTATCAAAAAAAAAGTAGACTAAGGCTGCATTTGGCTTTGTCGAAAATAAGGCCTTTTCTCCTTTTACAGGCAGAAAAAAAATGAGAATAGTTCAATTATAGTCATTTGGTAAAGTAAAATTCTATCCAAATAATTATTTTGACCAGGCAAATTAAAAGGATATATCGATTCCTTTTGCAGACTGGAGTTTCAAAAGCACATGAGCGCTAATTCAAACTTCAATGAAATTCAAAAGAAAATCCCATAATCAAATCTGAAAATAGATTTGCAAATTTGCACTTCTACCAACATGATAAGGATGACCACCAAATAAAATTGAACTTCTAACCACAAAATTTTAGTCATTGAAATCTGACCCAGAGTTCTATGAAACATCAAAATCACAAATATGGCCTACAGACAAAAAATGAACCACCAAACTGAGAAAGACTCAGAACAAATAAAGGGAGACCAATTTGGGCACATCCCATTTTGTAAAGGGGGCACACCTCTAATTATTAGTCAAAAAGTACATGCATTGAAAGACAATAGCATCCCAGTAAATACTTTGTCTTCACCTGGGATTTGCCTGGTTTCTCTAAAAGAGGTGTGCCAGTCAGTCAGAAAAATAAATAAATAAATGAACAGTTAAAAATTTGAACAGCCTAAAGACAAGAGACTTGGAGAAAAAAGTTTGACACCAGATGTTAAAAAATTCCAACTGGAGCATTGCTAAAATATGATTTAACATCAGGAGAAAATATCCAAAAGAAGCTTCCTGGTTTACATGTTATTAGGGGGGAGCGGAATACCTGTTTTCTGTGTCATGGAAGTGGACCTTAGATAGCATTAGTTTTAGCAGTGGGCCCTACAGGGCTGCACCTTGGACTGGGACTGGAAAGACAGACTTGACCCTAACTCAGGTTTGACTTGGACTGAGACATCATGTAGCTCAAGCCTGCTTACCTTCTATGATATATGAACCCCATTTACATTTGTAAAAGTTGTAGGGCCCAGCATACTGACACTACATAGTCCCAACACATACATTATGCTGTGCATATGAATGCCTTTTTTTTTTGTAAAGTTTCATATATTGACATCTAAAAGTCTGAAACTTATGTTTTTTTTCCTTTTGTTCTATTTCTAAAATGGACTATATATAAAAGCTCATACGAAAGGAACAAAATCAAACCTGACCAGCAAACCAGGGCCGAACCAACCTCACCAGAGCCTATCCAGGTCTAAGCTTAGGCAGGGTTTAAGCAGGGCTAGCTATCTTGGCCTATGAACTAGGGTTATCTGGGTCATGCCCTCCTTATAGGAACAAAATAATTTTTGAAAGAATGATGAAGTTGGTTAGAAATTCAGCTTAGGTTCATTGAAGGCCATTCTTAAACTAGCATACCCATCCAAAACAGTAAAGTAAATAGTAATTGTATGCCAACTTTTTTAGTACATTAGGTTATTTCATTGCATCTTATAGCCCTGTTGTAGATGCATAATATCGTACTTGGAAAATTATATGCATTTTTAACCTCGTGGCAGAAAAAATAAATAAGAGAGTATGTTAATTTGGCATTTCCAACATTGGACAACTAAAATGAACATGTTAACTTGCAGTTTCCAAAAATCTTCCATCAAAATTATAACTAATTTTGAAAAGAATATCGAACCCAATAATTATGAAAAAACTTTCTATAAATTAAAAATTTTCCTTCCAAGAAGCTATGTGAGCTTGAAAATGTGAATTGGAGAAGATAACAATGAGGTTAGCAAATCTGCATCAATCATTTCTTTTTTCAAGATGAGTCCTGCTATGGTACCAAAAGAGATATGGTACATAACAAATTGCAGTCAATCAACTGGTATTAACTCCCATTCAAATGGGATTCTGATTGGTTAAAATTATTTAGGACTGTACCTTTTTTGGTACCATAGAAATAGCCATATGAATATATTCTAAAACATCCTTTTCATTCATAAAAAAATCAGACCATTTATATTCTTAATTCCAACAAGCTTAATAACAGGTCTTGTTGAGATACTTCAATTTTATATTGGATTTCCAACAAACTCTAATAAGAGAACATAAAATCTCACAAAATCTGGGCCATCAGCTGTGAAGGACATGCCCCGTCAGCTAAAGATACACCATTAATAAAAAAAATACCTGAATATTTCTTGCCTGAAAATTCGAACCCTAGGGAGAGTATCATCCATGGGCTAAAAATTAAACCCAGTAGTTGCCATCAATTAAAAATAAACAGACTAACTTGGCGGCTTTAGGCAAGGATGTGTTATTAAGCTCAAGTACTCCAAAGGGAAAGCTAATATCCACCGTGGCTTTCTGACATTTCTGCAAGGCTGTGCAGCAATTTAGGACAACACAAAAATGATAAGAAAACCACATTGTTAACACCTGATATATGGCCCAACAAGGCACAACTGTAATGGAAACTAGGCAACTTAGTGCAACCATAACTTATAATATATAACACCCAAAGGCAAAAGGAACTATGGGGAGGTAGATCATTGCAGTCACAAATATGGTCATGCTTGGGAAGTGTTATTAGAGATTTAACAAACAGACAAGGACATTAATGGAAGCAGATCATTGCAGTATGGGTTGCAATCATGGCTAGGATCCTGGGTTGGGGGGAGAGGAACCACCTCCAATGGATGCTCCTTTTAAGGGCATAGAGAGGAGCTACAATTGCCTCATCAAAGGATTACTCTCAGAATGGGGGAAGGAACAAGAATAAGCGACTGGTAATAGACCAGGTGTGATAACAGGCTCCTAAAATAATTATATTCAGATCTATATTCGATTGTTGAAGATAAGGAAGCTACAGTTGCACAACCATACAAAATAGTAGGAGGGAAAGTGGTCTAGAACCAAGGTTTAGAAGAAATTTTTGGGATGAGGAACTAGAAGAGGTTACAGCCTTGTTGCAGAAGCTACAAGATCATCAGCCAGTTTCTGGGATGAACACATTAGGGAGTAGAGGTAGGACCAGTCAAAAGCCTTTACAATAAGGACCCTCACAGGGAAACTAGAGCTTACGAGAAAAATGAAGTCCATCAAAGGTTGCATTATGATGTAGTCTGCAGTGTTTAGGAAAATGTCCAATAAGAAACCAACTGTCAAGAAAAGTATGGACCTTCTATGATACAACTGTGTGTAATTCCAAACTGATCTGGAGAGTGAACCACCTACTAGTCCACTGCTCTTTCAGAGTAAAGGTATGGGAGAGTTTTTCTGCAAAAACTCAATGCAAAGTGGTGCTTTCTTAAAACACTAGAAGAGGTCATCGAGGGGTGAAACATTCATTCAAAGCTTAAACAGAAAGGGCAGATTAATTTG